GAAGATTATGAAGATTATCAAATGTTACATAATTTACTGATTATATCTTTAAATATCTTTATTTTTCTATTTGAAATACAAATGAAATAAATCCAACAAAATCTTTATGACATCTTTTTAAATTGTATTTCCATAATATTATCCCATATATTTATCTTTTATTCGAAATACAAATGTTTTTGTTTAAGATATTAAAATTTATCTAGATAGCATTATATATTCCTAAATCCTAAATAAAAAACTATATATTTGAGTTTAACCCACACAATTGTTTTCTTTTTATAAATATAACACTTTGATAGTATTATAAAAAAATTAAATATATGATTTACATTTGATGTTATATATTATATAACTCTATAATTTAGTTGTTTAAGTTTTTTATTCTTCATTATTAATATATAGTAATTTGTTTTATATATTTTAATTTATATTCTTGTTGATTGTTATTGATAAATAATATATTTTTGAGTTTGATACATAAATTATAATTTAAAATAATTAAATTATAATCTTCTTTAATATAGAGTTTTAATTTCTGGAATTTGCATACAATACATTTTAATATTTATTTAGATACACTATAGATAAATATTTGTTAGTGATAATTTATATTTTTTTGTTGTGTTTAAATGATACTTTTACATCTATTATTTTAGTATTTTGCACGATTTTATAAGTAAATATATTATTATTTATTGATAATTTGTTTTTATAAACTATAAATAAAAAGAAAACCCGCACGGTTGTGCGGGTCGAGATCTAGTTCTCTGTTAAACTATGAGCAGAGCAAATTTCATTATGTTTTTTTTTTTTTTTTTTGACAACGAAAGGCTGATCTATTACTCAAGCTTGAGGTGGTCTGGGAATCCAGACCGGAATAGAACAACCAACATACATCAGATCACGATAGAAGGATCGAGCTGTCTTAGCTAAAGAATCGGACACAACATTTTGAGATCGAGGAACATAAAAAATCTTGAAATCTGGGAAGCAAATCCGCAGCGTCAACAGCCTCTCCAGTTCCGTCGAAAAACTTGGCCATTCATGGGGTTTTGTGAGCATCGCTATCAATTCCTTACAATCCGTCCCAAAGCTCTGACATGGCGAATGTTGAAGCATATTCTCCATTGCTACCGCAGTGCTTCCAGCTCAGAGTGCAAAGCCGACTCCACTCTACTAACATTATGCATCCCCAACAACTGACAATTCCCCATGGTATCCTTCCAATCCCAACCACAACCTGAGAATTGATCTGTAGCGGTCCAAGAACCATCTACCATACATATATCTTTCAGGCTTATGACCTGGCTTTGACCCTCTATGTTTCCTTGTGATGGCAAAATTTCATGTTCATTAGCTTGGAACCAGGCAAGACACTCACTCTCCGCATACCGGGCTAGTTCCAGAGGATCTCTATCAATCCCTCGGAACAGCTTGTCATTCCGAGCCTTCCAAATGTACCATATTAGCCAGGGAAAAGGGTCCCTGTCTAATTCTGGCTCCATTATGGCTTTCTTTCTCCAAAATAGATAATCCATGTTTGCATATGTGCTTTGCAGTGGAATTAAAGAAGAGCTGGTTGGTATAGATGATAAAGCCCACACCTGTAGTGCAGGTGGGCATTGGAAGATTGCATGTGCAACTGTTTCTTCCGGTTCTCCGCACCGTGGACAAAAGTTGTCACATCTTATGTGTCTATGATTTAGAGCACTGGTAACAGCCACGTGACCTGTTATAATCTGCCATATAAGATGACACATCTTCGGGGGAGCTTTAACCTTCCAGACTTGTGCTTGAAGTTTTGTAATACTAGGCTCGCCCACTATATTATCATCCTCCTTCATCAAATATTTCTAGCAACCCAATAACCAGACTTAACTGTGTATTGTCCACTCCTCGTATAGCTCCAGCAATGCGTGTCTCTACGATGTGTTGAACTAATAGCCATACTTCTTATTAGAGGTACATCAGCAGCATCAACATAATTCGCCAACCGTTCCAGATCCCAAGACTTTGTTTCTTGGTTAATAAGATCACTCACTCGCATGTTCGGATGCAAAACCGGAACAGATGAAGACGCTGGCCTCGCTGGGATTGTGGGAATCCAAGGGTCCTCCCATACTTTCACATCATAGCCTGAGTGTATCTTCTGTCTAGCCCCCAACAGCAGTAATTCTCATGCAGCCGATATGCTTGTCCACACATATGATGGACTACTAACAGTGATCTTTCGCAAAGGCGAACTCAGTCGATAATACCGACCTCTCATAACTCGAGCTACCAGGGAGTCTGGGTGTTGTGCCAATCTCCACAATTGCTTAGCTAACAATGCCAGGTTAAATTCATGGATCATTCTGAATCCTATTCCCTCTTCCTCTTTAGATAAGCATAGCTTATCCCATGTTGACCAATGTAAGCCTCTTTTTGGAGGGTTCGAGCTCCACCAGAACTGTGCAATGGCACTAGCCAAGGCATCACAAATATCCAATGAGAGGAGAAAACACGACATTACATAGGTTGGAAGAGCTAGCAGGATTGTTAGCTAAGCCCACTTTATCATTACTTCCTTTCCACCTTTCGATAGCCACCTGCCCGTCCATCCATTCACTCTATTCCTAAGCTTATCCTTTAGGAAGGCAAAAAACTTGCATTTGGAGCCACTGATATCTTCTGGAATCCCTAAATAAGTTCCCATCCCTGCTTCATTTTGGATCCCAAGCGTATCTTTGATTTCTTGCCTGACCTCTTGTCCGATTCTCTTACCAAAGAGTAGAGATGACTTATCAAAATTAATGCATTGTCCCGAAGCTTGTCCATATTTTCTGACCACTTTCATTACTTCTTCACATTCACGGGGCTCCGCCTTACAAAAGAACAAGCTATCATCAGCAAAGAGTAGGTGGGATATCGAAGGACACGCACGCGTGATGCGCATCCCCGTTATCTTTCCCTGATTCTCTGCGTGATTAAGAAGGCTAACGAGCGCTTCCGTGCATAGAATAAAAATGAAAGGGGACAGAGGATCCCCCTGTCTTAGACCTCTCTCTGGAACAATATTCCCTCTTGGCTGCCCATTCATAAGGACCTTATACTTCACTGATGTTATGCAGCGCATTATCCATGTTATCCAGATTTCCGAAAAACCCATCTTCCTCATGGTGGCCTCAATGAAAGACCATTCCATTCTATCATACTCCTTACTCATGTTCGTTTTAATGGCCATCCTCTTATTACGTCCACTGGGTTTGGTTCTTAGAGCATGGAACATCTCCTGAGCAATCATAATGTTATCAGAGATCTGCCTCCCCGCAATAAAAGCTGACTGGGTTTCTGAAATTCTATCTGGTAGAGCTTTTTTTAACCTCTGGCATAAGACCTTAGAGATTATCTTATAACTAACATTACATAAGCTGATGGGGCGTAGCTGACTCATCTGATTCGGCTTATCAACTTTCGGAATGAGACATATGTTGGTTTCATTTAAGCCAGTGGGTATCGTACCTTCAAACATGAATTGATTAACCAAAAGAGTTAAATCCTCCTTTACGATATCCCAAAATTTCTGATAAAAAAGCGCAGTCATTCCATCTGGCTCTGGAGCTTTCTCTGGATGCATCACAAAGAGCGCCACCTTGATCTCCCACGCAGTAACCGGTGCAGTGAGATTTTCATTGTCTACTTGTGTAATAGTTGTAGAGAGTTCAGATAATGATTCCTCTATTTCCTCGGGATTTGATGATTGAAAAATATGTCTAAAATAGTTTGTAGCAATGGCTACAAGTCCCTCCTCATCCTGTACCACATTCCCATTCTCATCCAAAAGTTGTGTAATCCTGTTCCTTGCCCTTCTCTGCTTTGTGAGAGCATGAAAGAATTTTGTATTCCTGTCTCCTTCTCGTAACCAAAAAACCCTACACTTCTGCTTCCAGAACATTTCTTCTGTCTTAAGAGCATCAGATAATTCCTTTAAAGCCGCAGCAATCTCCTCAGTGGTTGCATCATCGTTAGAAGATAACTGATCTACTTTTTCCTTTAACTCTTCGACACTTCTTTCAGAATTAAGATTGTGTTGTCTCTTCCAATCACACAAAGTACGCCTGCAACTTGCAATATGCTCCATAATACTGGCTCCTGGTGGTAGGTCCGGTGATTTCCATCCCTCCAGAATTACTTGCCTGAGATCCTCATTATCCAGCCATCTCTTATCAAATTTAAAATTTTTCGATCTTCGTGGCCGTTTTCTAAGAATATCAGCTAAGATCGGACGATGATCCGAACCCCACATTCTCAAATACTGAACCTTCGAATGAGGGAATTTGTCATGCCAGTCTTCATTACCAACAGCTCTATCTAGGCGGCATCTAACCGTGACTCTCCCTGCTCTTTTCCCAGCCCATGATAGCATGTTCCCTGTAAAGGGGAACTCTAGCATCCCACAATCACTCAGCATTTGTCTGAAAGGCAAAAATGAGCTGTCTGATCGTTCTCGGCCTCCTTCTTTCTCTTCATGGCATGTAATCTCATTAAAGTCACCAATCATGAACCACGGTCCATTTCTTGTTGTTGAGAAACGCGTAAGACGTTCCCAAACTAACTCTCTACGTTCTAATACATGATCTCCATAAACGAACGTCATGTAAACTTTTATTCCATCAATTATTGCCTCAATGTCAATCATTCTGTTATTTGAAAATAAAATCTTAACTTGAAAATCATCCATAAAAAACAAAGCTAAACCTCCGCTGAGTCCAAGTGGCTCAACGGTAAACAAATGATCAAATCCTAAGTCGGCTTGAATGTCTTGCAACAGAAGCCTCCTATTCTTTGTCTCAGAAAGAAACACAAGTCCTGGGCGATGCTTCTGACACATCTCCGTAAGGCGTCGAACTGTGAGGTCGCTTCCAATCCCTCGACAGTTCCAACTAAGTGTCTTCATGGATGACGGGGGGATGGGTTATTGGACCCCATCAAACCACCATCCTTAGTTGAACTTGTTCTTATCTTCCTAGAATCAGGGTGAGAATGCTTGGACTTCTCTTTTCCACTTTTTTGTTTCGGAGCTGACGAAACAGTCGATCGTAATCTTGGAGAGCCTCGACGGAGGAACTCTGTTTTTTTTTCTGGATGCCCATCTGCCTGTGTCTTCTGGAAGTACTCCTTGAAGCTCTCAAAACTCTGGAAGATGTAGTTGGCCGTGAGGCAGCTAGAACCGTTGTTGAGACTACCGCATCTTCCATATCCTTAAGCTCTTCATCGAAAAGATCATCGTCGGCTAACTCCATAGCTTCCTTATTCTCTCCCTGAAGTTCCATACCACTCAGCTCCTCTATTACCTGCCCTCCTCGAGTTGCATGTTCTGAGTGTGGTGGAGAGAACGTGAGTTATCGTGTAATACTCCTTCTACGGATTGTCACATTCGCATCCATTGTCGACTGCCTCATAGCTGGGGACACAATCTGACTAGCTATTCTCTTCCGGTGTCCTCCCTGACTACTGCCTGAGCCATCTATATCTTGGTGACGAAGATCACCAACCAGAGCATTTGATATAATAGCCAACGATTGATCATAGGGAACAATTCCATCGTTCAAATCATCACCATCGATCAAAGCACCGCCAGCGTTCTGATTGTTTTCCTTTCCGTGCTCCCTTGATGCATTATTTATTCCCTTCTCACGCCAAGACATAATACCTTTGCGATCTATAGGTTTGGACCCATGCCGTGCGTATGGTTTGAATTCCTTACGAGAATTCTTGTAGTTATTGTGGTGATCATGTCCCCTCATGTGCTCTCTTCCTCTCATGATTCTGTCTGAATGGACATGAAGCCGTTTAGCATCCTCTCTATATCGTGAGACATATCTGGAAGTACCGTAAGCGCTGGTACGCGGATCCACGAGACGAGACTGCATTTCCACTTTCTTGTTGCTGTGACTACTCAGACCATGGTCTAGTCCTCTGTGACCACTTAAAGAACCATGACCTTTATGAGTCTGTGGTTGCTGTAGATTCAAGTAAGAAGGATTTTGAACTCGACTGAAAACATCTCCTTGCACAGTTTGAGGCCCAAGATTAGCAGCCGAGTTTGGACAATGTTCCTTCTCGTGTGTCATCATACCACAGGAGGTGCAATGTTTGAAGAGGAGGTCGTACTGGATTTCGAGAGTTACCTCGTCCCCCTCAGGGCTCTGGACTTTTCTTTTGAACTTCAAAGGTTTACGAGAATCGATATGAATAAGAACACGACCCGCCGAGAGATCAATTGTATCCACCAGACCAAACCTACTGCCTATGTTCCTCAGGTTCTTATCTGTCCAAAGGTGCAACGGCATCCCAATAAATGTGACCCAGAAAGGAATGTTCCAAGGGTAATCATCATGGACAATAGGCTCCCATCTCACCAGCACAAACATACGGAAGTTGAAATGAAAGGGTCCTTTTCTTAACACAGCGTTGAGATCGTCCTCATTGGTGGAATTAATAAGAAACTTGCCGTTTCCTAAATCATTGGCCGTGATCCTGTCTTGAACACCCGATTGCGCTGGCATAGTCTGGAGAAGCTTCTCCACGTTCTGTTTCTTAGGATTGAGAACCTTGCCAATAAGAGACAAATGAAACTCCTTGATTACGAACGCGTCGTCCTGCGCCGTGAGTTTAATGGGTTCATCATCATCTTCATAATGAATAGCTTTCCCTTTTAGGTCTGCCATATGAGCAGATTTAAGCCTACTCATGTGTCCTGAGATGTGGTATCCAGTCGATTGGGCCAGAAAGATCAAAGTATCAAAGAGTAGCCTTGTCGCAGAGATCGTTACACAAGGACAAAAGATCCTTTGCGTAGAAACGATTAGAAACTTCGTGGTACAGGAAATCAGCAGATCAGGATATCAGATCCCGCTTGTGTAACGCGGAGATCAGGAGATCAGAAGCGTCGTACGTGGTGTGTCAATACATCCCTGTGGGGTGATCCAAAATTCAGTCTAAATCACAAAGAACAAAGATCCTTTGTGTAGATGAGAGATGCACAGACGTCTTGATCCGTTGTTGAGATCAGAAGGGGATCAATACATCGAGGAATGTATTCATCTGTGATTTCGTGTTTGTGGCTGATGATCCGTATGATACACGGCAAGGTACCGTGACTGCAGATTGGTGATTCTGCTTGTGATACAGGGACGTGAGCGGGAGAGAGCCAAAGGCGCCGTGATCCTATGCTGAGATTAGCAAGAGAGAGATCGAAGAATCACCTCTGCCATCGCCATAAACCCTAATCGCCGTCAGAGCGTATTCTCTTTTTTCATTATGTTTTTAAGGGCCTTACTCTTTTAATTATATGTATTGAATTCTTTCTATGTTTACCAAATATTTAGGGGACTATGAATTCTGTTAAATTAATACTATGAGCAGAGCAAATTTCATTATGTTTTTAAGGGCCTTACTCTTTTAATTATATGTATTGAATTCTATCTATGTTTACCAAATATTTAGGGGACTATGAAAAAAATATATCAGTTTGGATAATATCATATACACTGTTTGCTTATTTGTTTGTTTTTACTTTTTACCATATTTTCCTTTTTACTTTATGTTCTTTTAATCGTTAGACATGTTCATATAGTTCACGTTGTTGGTCGACAAAAAATAAGTTTACGTTGTTTGACTTTCTCTTGTGACAAATGAATAATTTAGCTATTTGTTATATTGAAATATGCTGCAACATTTTATTGATATTAACATTGATTTTCTTTTCTGTATTGCACTCTAGGTTAACATTCATTAACCGAATCACCCTTTTAAATAAATTTTTTTTTTTGGATATATTAGTATCAATTTTTTTTTTCATTTTGTAAGTACAAAATAAAATTTAAATTTACGGTAAAAAATTGACATATAACCTCTTATTATTATTTTTTTTTAATTTATGCATATAACTTATTAAAATGATAAATGATTTCCTTTATACATTTTAAACATATTTGTAATTATTTTAAATTGAGAATAAAACTGTTAAATGATATATATATCATCACGAAGAGAAAAAATCATTTTTCATCAAACTAATTTGTATATACTATATTAGTATAACTTAATTATTATATTTAGTGAAATAAGTTAGAATAATATTTTATTTTATGCTTATTTATCTAAATTACTGAAAATAACAAATGATATTTTATATTTTTTAAACCTATTTATATAAATTTATATTTTAGATTTAAATATTAAGCTATATGTTTGACATGTATATGATGATTTGTAACTAACAAAAAGAGATGTAACTAAAAAATAATTACAAAAAAATGAAATATTTGAACTAAATATTAAGAAAATGAAAGATGTGGAGGATTTTTAAAAAATAATCTTCAAATATTTTTTCACTGATATATTTTTTTAGGGGGATTTGCGAAATATGAATCAAAACTTGATTTTGAATACTAAAGTGTACCCCAAATTCAGTCAAATACAAAAGTAACCTAAAAACCTAGTGAAATTACAACAGCCTTGGGAACAAACAAAAAAACTTCTCAGGATGACTTCTTTATAAGTCTTTTCGTTCAGTAGATCTTAAAAATAATTTTATAATTTTATAAAAAATATTTTGATGGGTAAAAAATTGAATTCGTGTTATAATAAACATTTCTCAATGATGTAAATTTAATTTATCAGAAATTGAATTATTTTCAACATATATGAGTGAATGTATATTGGTTCATGAGTCAATGGTTTAGGGTTTGGTAACATATGTTATAGTATTGTATATATCTTTATAGTTAGATTCTGAAATCTTACCTTCATTTTTTCTTTCAAGACGCATATATGTTTAGTAATTATTTAATAACTTGATTTAAACACTTTCTAAGTTTCTTTTAAGTTTAATAAAGTGTTTTTTTGTTTGCATAGTTAAACGATTTTAGGGTCTGGAAGACTCACAGAAGACTTCCGACACATCCCGCCTAAATTTTAGTAGAATTTAGGGTTCTTGCCTATCCTAAATTTTGGAAAATTTTAGGTTTCCTGCCTAAATTAAAGTCTTCCATAAGTCATCTAGGAGTCTTCCATAAGTCATCCAGGAGTCTTCCGGAGGATGTCTATGGATTAGATCTTAAAAATAATTAATAAATGTTATAAAAAATATTTTCAAAGGGAAAAAATTCAGCTCGCCCTACGACAAGCTGGTCGGGGAAGCCCCAGCTCGCCATATAGCGAGCTGAACCGGTTGGTTCAGGTTCGATCGAACCTGCTCGTGATTACGGCGGGTTAGATGTTTCAATTTTTCGATCTGAGATCCTTTCATGAAATTTTGATAAGAAATAATCGAAGACGTTGATTTCGAGATTACCGTTTTGACACCAACAGTTAGCCCCTCAGCTCGTAAGTTTCGAAGAAGGTTTTTGTGGGCGAGTGGAGTTGTTTAATCGAAATCCACGGCTACGATTTATTTTATCACGGAAGATGAGCTCTTCTTTCTATAAGTATTGGATCATCACTTCATACATCTTCAATATCTCAAATTTCCTCCAACTTCTCTCTAGAAAACTTGTTTGTCAAGATGTCTTCTTCTCAAGATGATCAACAAAGCCATGACGTCCCAGCTAGTGCCAACTCTGTTGGGGTCAAAATCGGTACGACGGAATCAATAGCCAAAATTCCCCGCAAAAATATAAAAGAAATCGTTTTATAAAACTCGAAGATCGTTTTATAAAACTCGAGAATCATTTTATAAAACTCGAAGAATCGTTTTATAAAACTCGAGATTCGTTTTATAAAGTTAGAGAAATCGTTTTATAAAACTCGAAGATCGTTTTATAAAACTCGAGAATCATTTTATAAAACTCGAGAATCATTTTATAAAACTCGAGAATCGTTTTATAAAACTCGAGAATCGTTTTATAAAACTCAAAGATCGTTTTATAAAACTCGAGAATCGTTTTATAAAACTCGAGAATCGTTTTATAAAACTCGAGAATCGTTTTATAAAACTCGAAGATCGTTTTATAAAACTTGAGAATCATTTTATAAAACTCGAAGAATCGTTTTATAAAACTCGAGAGTCATTCTATATAACTCGAGAAATCGTTTTATAAAACTCGAAGATCGTTTTATAAAACTCGAGAATCATTTTATAAAACTCGAGAATCATTTTATAAAACTCGAGAATCGTTTTATAAAATCTCGAAGAATTGTTTTATAAAACTCGAGAATCATTTTACAAAACCGCAAAAAACCGAAACCGCCATAGCGAACTAGAAGCTTCCCGACTAGTTCGCCTGCTGGCGAAACGTCTCCCGTTTCGTCTCGATCCGACCTATCGTTCGAGTTTTACGATAAAAACCATAAAACTCCGTTTTCTCGAAAAGAACTCGAAGAAATCGTATAAAACGGCAACGGTTAAACAAGGAACCGAACATCACCTAAACTATACAATTTATTCGAGATTTTTTGTTTAAATCGTAAAAAATGCATTTTTAATAAAAACGACGAGTAAATCGTAAAAAATGCATTTTTAATAAAAATGTCGAGTAAATCGTAAAAGACGGAAACAATTAACCAAGAAACGAACGTAGCTAAACATTACGATTAACTCGAGGAATTTACTAAAAACGGCATCGAATCAGGAAACGATTCTGTACAAGGTCGAAAAACAAATTTATCGCAAAACAGTCCGGAAGGTCCTAAAACGCGATAAAAGCCCATCTCGTGATCTCAACAGAATCTAACCCGAAGATACGATAAATTTTTGACGGTTTACTCGCAGAAGGAAAATAAATGTCAAGCTTGAAGATAAAAGGCAAGTTTGAAGATAAATAGAAGATTTCCGCGGAAGAAAAGGAATGATCGAGAAAAATGGAAGATTTCCGATACACTCAAATCCGGGCAAAATGGAAAGATCGAATCACCAAGGCGAGGAGTA